ATAAACTGCGGCTATCCAAAGAGTCCGATGCGCAGTCGAACCTGCAGCCAAATTAAACAGACTAGTTTTAAATACCATTTCAAGATGAAACAAACGGATAAGTACTTCCAAATCCCGCTTGACTACGCGGCTTTCATCACATGTAGTGAAAATTGGCGTTTTTTGTCCATGGATTACATGCCAATAAACAATATCTCACATAATGAGCCACAATGACCTCACTTCATTCATTCTTTCCCGTTAGTCCCCGTCTCCAGTCGTAGCTTCGCCGAACGAACGGGTTGGATGCTATCAAGCCCAGTGGGTTTATGTTTGCTACTAAGGTGGCACTACAAATGGATTAAACATGCCTATGATTATGCATTGGTTAAACTCGCCCTATGCTGAGTTTCATGGTGAATACAAACGAACTCAGTTTACCTTACCATTTTGTACATAACGCCCGTTACAAGACTGTCCAAAAATAAAAATACGCCAACCAAGTTGTCTACTCAGGACGCACGAGCTAGGTCACTCTCATTGAGCGTATCCAACGAGCCGCTACGACAATGGTTGCCGGCCTCAAATCCGTGGACTACGAAACGCGTCTCGCGATGCTTGACTTGTCTCCCCCGGGGAGGCCTAGTTATTACTTACGCCCTGTTTGAACAGAGATCAGCAGGCAGGTTTTTCACCATTGACCCAACAAGCACGCGGCAGGGGCATGGTGAGATTTTCAAGCTCAGAGCGCACAAATTCATTAGGCAAAACTTTGTATCATTTCGGGTAGGGGCTGCGTTGAATCACCTCCATCCGACGGTTATCCACGCTTCTTCTTGAACCCAGTTAATAGCACTATTGGACACTTACTTATGCAAATCTTCGCGCTGGCATGCATGCTGCTCCGCGCTGAGGACATGAAGAGACAAGCTACACCCTTTTTGCACTTGTGCATTTTGAGTGAACGACAGCCGCTGAAAGACAAGAACCAAACCGAAACGGGAAACTTGGAAAAATGCCTCGATCTTGTGTATCATTCCGTGAATCTTTATATCCTTTGCACTGAATCCCGTGTGTGATATTGTTCTTAACTATCATATCTTAGTTTACTTTTGGCATTGATAGTACCCACCATAGAGTGCTCACAGGTTTGTAGGCGAACGTCGTACTCTGCTGTCGTAAGAGCTTGGCCATTATGTAAACGTTTTTTATGTATGGGAATATGACCCGGTTTCTTCCATTTTGCGCTATTTTATTAGACGTATTAGGCTGCCTGAGCGTTCTTTAGATCGAATCCCTCGGGAACAAATTTCTCTGCAATAATTTGCGTTTGCTTTTTCTTCTTGAACCTTGGATTCTCTATTGCTGTGATATGTCCCCACCAGTCTGGAAAATACTCGAATGCAGTCTTTTCGTGACGATTTGGATATTTGCTATGGCAGTTCAGAATTAGGTCTGCATCGGTCGCCCATCCCTGGTACACAGTTTTTGGCAGTCCATTCGACAATCTTGTGATCAGGATGTGCGCTCAGCATTTGCACAATGGAATTGAATTTTTGAAAGCTGTAATATACCTTTGATGGGGTATAGCAATGGGGCAATTAACTTAAGAGTACCGGTCCAAATTTTTGGGCCCCATTTAGGCATCACGGGGTCTCATCGGTGCTTAGGAATTATTCCACCAGATTTTTTCGCCAGACGCATGATCGCTTCAGTGGACAATGAAGTATGGTGAGCTGCAAAAATTTGCTCGTAGATTATAATGCTTTTTGGTTTTGAGCACATATGCAACAAAATACAAAATTTTGGCGCAAAAAATGTTACATCACACGCAGAGGTTTCGCGACTGAGAGCATTGTGCGGCTAATGGGCGCCCGTTCACTAGAAATACAATGTCATCAAATACGTTGGAAAAATAAATGAAATGCAGAATAAGATGTGGTAACCTGACAAGAGAAATATGCATCCATTTTGGACTTGAGGGAGCATGCTTTCGAGAGGCCACTCAGGCAGATGGGTCTCTGCCATAGTCACCACGCTGCATGCACATAGCAAGATTTTACGTATCTGTGCTAGCAGTTGTATCACACATAAACTGCGGCTATCCAAAGAGTCCGATGCGCAGTCGAACCTGCAGCCAAATTAAACAGACTAGTTTTAAATACCATTTCAAGATGAAACAAACGGATAAGTACTTCCAAATCCCGCTTGACTACGCGGCTTTCATCACATGTAGTGAAAATTGGCGTTTTTTGTCCATGGATTACATGCCAATAAACAATATCTCACATAATGAGCCACAATGACCTCACTTCATTCATTCTTTCCCGTTAGTCCCCGTCTCCAGTCGTAGCTTCGCCGAACGAACGGGTTGGATGCTATCAAGCCCAGTGGGTTTATGTTTGCTACTAAGGTGGCACTACAAATGGATTAAACATGCCTATGATTATGCATTGGTTAAACTCGCCCTATGCTGAGTTTCATGGTGAATACAAACGAACTCAGTTTACCTTACCATTTTGTACATAACGCCCGTTACAAGACTGTCCAAAAATAAAGTTGTGAGAATTGAGTTTCGTACGTATATCGGTATAACCAGACGAACTAGAAATCCATAATTCAGCGAAGCGTAACAGCCAGCACGTGTGTGTTCGAATTGGCGAATGTGTACAGTATACGGAATATTAAAACAAGAGAATAATGAATAGGGCAATGAATAGAGTATCAGTTAATCTAATCACAAAAGTATTGCAGTAATATGACCACAACCATTCCCTTGACATCTGCGTTAATTTTCTACTTGTCCTCGATTAACTCACCCTCTATGAATAGAGTATCAGTCATGTTAATCACAAAAGTATTGCAGTAATATGACCACAACCATTCCCTTGATATCTGCGTTAATTTTCTACTTGTCCTCGATTAACTCTTCTCACCCTCTTATTCCTAATGTCCAAACACGAATAAATCGATAGCCTTGGGCGCGAAAACCCTCCCCCAAATCTCATTATCTCGATATCCTGCTGTGCTCGTAGCATGTCCGATCCACAAATTCAGTAATTTTCTTCATAATATTCACACGACCCTGTATATAAGCGACACGTGACCCGCCCAAAAAGCCCCTACCACTGAGCCCTCTAGGATAATGAAACTAGTAAATTCATGCAATCTTACCATACAGCAAAGGTCTAGAGTAGAGCTTAATATTTCTCCACACTGTGAGTATCTACGATTCGACCTTCCATGGCCTTGGCTATCAGCTCGGCCGTTCACAGTTGCCCATCTTCAACACTGATTATAAATTTTGATCAAACTCGATCGACGTCTATAACCTAAACAGCGAGAAGGATGCTCATAATGACCCCAATGTAGTCCTGTCACAAACTATGAAACAATCGATGGAGGGCAATGAAGGCGCAAACGAACGCCAAAGTCACAGGTCAAAACAGAGTTTTGGGAAGAGCCTCCAAACCTACACGCACAACAACACGAACGACTCTGGGAGGTATTCAGAGTAGTGACCGGGCAACAAAGACAAAATTGTTTGCAGTCCACCGCTTCAGCACATCTCTGCTCACACAGGAGAAGCGTGCCGGTGATGAGTCCGTTCAGTCGCTAGGATATCGAGAAACAAAAATACCGCTTGCAAAGAGCGTATCGTCACTGAGTTGCTCAAGTTTTCATTTTCTCATGATATGCCAGGAAAATAGCACAAACTGTGGAAAATCCTCTCTTCTCTCCTAAGAGCTATTGATTGTTGATAGTTGTTCTGTGAAGTCTGGGCGTGTTAGCAGGTACGGTTGCTCAATAGCGCATCCCAGGTCTTAATAATCATCCACCGTGCCGGCTTGTTCGTTTATCGTAATCGGCGAACAAGCAGATGGCAGTTTCAGTCAAACCAGGCAAAGTCACAACAATCACCCCTTAAAAAATCTAAACAGTCAAAACTGGATGCAGTGAAATTGCGATTTCGAAAACAAATTCCGGTTCTTAGTTGGAAGTCATGCCCTGCAACTTTTGATACGAATGCGTACAGCAGGTTGGGATTTGCTTGGGTTGGTGACCCAGGATGAAACATATTTTCTCCCGACCACCTCACATGAAAGCACATGAAGAAATATGCAAAACTCATCTTCTATTTACTTTTCCTTGTGAATGCATGAAAGCAGTGGCTGAGTATTTTCTAGCTGGATGTACCACTCTCGCATCCAAAGCTAACGCCTAACAATGGTACCAAGTGACAAGTGTGTTCCTCAGTCTCAGCTGTTGTTCGTATTGCTACTTCACACTTTTCATATGTAGAAGAAAGACCCGCAAATCAAGTGTTTCGTGCAGCCCTCCTGTCCGCAAACTTCCGTGTGTCAACTATATAGAGATGAATCTTCAATGGTCTCATTGGAGTTTCGGGCTATTTAGTCCAAGAATAGCACCACCAAATTTGAAACTTGAGCACTTCCTTATGCTGTCGCAGCTCGGTTTATTTTTACCGCACACTGTCTGACTAACCAGTACCATCCTCTTATGCCGGATCCATTCTTGGTTCCATTTGGAGCCTTCCTCGTACACACTTGTGCAGAATACCAATATTTTGAGCTCGATTTAACTAAGTGTTCTAGGTGCGACCATACTGGCTAGTTTTGTGTATTCAACCTCGGTATCCTGACTGCTCCCGTCTAGACTTGAACAAACTGACAGTATCTTAAGACTTACGCTACATTGGAGTGGCACGACACCTATAAACCGAAGGAGTGTTACGGCTGGACGAGCATGGTCCTGGCTCATACATACGGACTTGAGAACAACTAATGTTCCCTGGGGTTACCATGCGAAAGTTGAACAGGCTTCTCGAGTTGTCCGCAAGTATTGCATTAGAAATGCCAGCGGGGTCAGGTTCCGCTTCTAACAGCTGGTGTTTAAAGTAAAACTTAGAGACAACTTCGAGGTAGATGGCTGCAACACTTTTCGGTAGAGGATTTAGCCTAGTAACCCACACGGTAGAGAGAGGACACCAAGTTCAAGCGCATAACTTAGCAATGTGTGGGAGAAACAACTGGGAAAAACAATGGGGCGTGTGTACAGCTGGACAAAACCGCGTGGACGGTTAACAGGAGTTACTTCACACGCTGTATTTGGCGTAATCGATACAAATCTAGGGGGCCAGAGAAAGAGGCCCGAACCAGATCGGATCCACCTATTACAGCGGAGCCTGTCAACAAAGCAGCCGCACGCTCATCTTCGTCATCATCATCATCCTCCTCGTCCGCCTCGTCTTCTGAATCACCAAACGCGTTCAAGGCAGGCCGTTTTCGTGCTTTAAGCTGGTTTGCGTTGGTTGCTCCGAGACGCGTTGCTGTGCCCGAGGCGACGTCGATGTTTAGCTGCTGGCGTCGCTTTCTCGCGGCCAACAACATTGGGGCCGTGGAACTGGCCGTGCTTGCTAGCTCGATCGATAGGGCGGTTCCTGGATCGATGCTGTTGCTCAGCTCCTCAGATTCGGCGTTCACGATTTCCATGTAATCTATGAATGAAGAGATGAAGTGATCTTGTCAGGATGCACTTGTGATATTGATGTACGGGATATAATGTTCAAAAATTGCATCAACTGCAAAAGAATCGGATCCAAGAGCAGTTACCTTTTCATCAGGGTTTTAAGGCAAGTGCTCGAAAAGCATTATAGATTAGAATCTCTTCACTGAAGATTTTAGTAGATTTTACAAGAAACAGTGGTTACGACTGGTCCAAGCGACCATATTAATAATTGTTACTAGTGAAAAATATAGAGTTCTCATTCGGGGACCACCTGACACAGGCGGAAAGTCATAATGCTTCGAAGTTGTCCATGAAAATAGAACCGGCATTATTTAGAGGCAGAACATACAAGAAGCACACATTGATAAAGTGACAGTATATTTCGCAGTTGTCCCAAACTGAAAGGCCTTCCACTAAGGGACAGTACAAACCGAAAATGGAGCCCAAGCAACGTCGTCTGACTATCACTGGCCCGCATGGTTTTGAACGTCTTGTCGATATATACCGAAAGGAATAAACACGCTGGATGGCACGTGAAAATTCGAAAGTGAATGCGCTCGACCCAAACAAGGCGGGGTTCGATCGGACCAGCGACAACATATTAGTCATGGGTTCTTGGGATAATCACCAGGCGACACCTAAGCGCGATACACAACAGCGCATCAACCAAATGTAGGGCTAAGAAATTACCTTCTACCCGTGATTTTCTTTATTTATGGTACAAAGCCGGATGTTCTCCTGTTTGCTGAGTCTGTGGTTTGTGCAACCTGAGCTAGCAACATTCCCCTCAGTAGAAAATGGTATACGGCCGCGTTGGAAACCGAGGGAGCAATGTATACGGTTTCGCCTCCCCTAGAAAATGTACCAATATGTTTTCGCACAAGTAACAAAAAACCTGAGTCGAAAAACGCCGGTATACAACAGTCTACCAGTGTTCTTATGACAACAAACGACATTAATTGTCCCTTCAAGGCAAGCATGATAGTAATAAAACTTTGTAACACAAAACACTGTGAAAATGGGACATTAATTGAACGTATTATTCAGTTCAATAGGTGGACAAACATAACCACGGAAGCCTTACCATCTGGAATTTCTAGCTCCAGGAAGTGTTCCATAAATTTGTCGATTTCAACGAATGGCCCATGGAAGCATTCGGGAGGAGGCAATAATCTGAGAAGAGCAGAAGCCGCAGGTGGAGGAGGAAACTCGCCACCACCAACCGGATGGCTGCCTGTTCTCGGATAGGCCTTTGGCTTGAAAGGAAGCATTTGGCTAACGTCGGGTTGCGGATATGCTGGGCGTTGATCACCAGAACTTCCAGATAACACACTTGGATCACCCATAGTGCTTCCGACACCGAGCGATAGGGCTGTGGAAAGGCCTACATGAGGAGCAAGGACACTTCCAAAGAACTCATCGTAGCCACGTCCAGACCCCGCAAACTGGAATCGAGCCAGTTCCTGAATGAAAAATGCGTGATGAGAAGAAAAATGTGAGCGAACTCGAATTTTTAGACTACAGGTTATTTGGTTGTATTAGAAAAGTTCGATCTTTGTCAAGGTTACTTATTTAAAAAAACAGTCAAGACAGATGATGCAATCCGACGCTTTGGCGATAGGGATGTCATACGAATGGTTATGACAACAATTGAAAAACTACACTATCCCATAAAAAGATCAAACACTCACCGGCACGCCAAATTTGTTCTAACGATAGAGTCAGTCGAATTCTAGCTGAATTCCTCGTTTCAGATATTCTTCAGCAGCCCTGTGAGTAGAGTTCCGTCGGGAAAGACCGTTGTCTACGGTTTCTCCCTTTGGAGCCATTCTTCAAAATGTTGACCACTAATGGCCTTCAGATGGAAGTCCTTGATGGACTACCCAACAAAATATTGAGCCAGAATCGGTGCTTGGTGTTGGTGTTCGATATCGGAGATTCTAGTGGATTCAACCTTCGGTTCAAAATTGGACAATTAGCACAAAACGGATACAAAACTACCAGGACTGAATCGTCTGCTCAATCATTGGGAGTCCAACGTGAATCCATTCCTATTTATACGGATAGATGTAAGCATTTAATGGAAATTACAACCATCGGAGCAGAATCTATGTTGTCAAAATGCGTTATGTCGTGTCAAGGACGACTCACACCTGTGGCCCAGATATCAAAACAACCAGATCTGAGATTGTGTTCAAACAACCGACAAGTATACATCTTCCAAGAGATCATGCTATACAATCAATCACCGAAAATACCAAACACTTGCTAAGAAACAACACCAAACCGTGCGGCGGTCTCCTACATTTGCTCGGCTATGAGGACTAAGGAATGCAACACAGGAGAACTAACTCAATGGCTCCAAGATTAATTTGATTCGTATCAGAGGCCTATTGTTATTCACTTTCTACCAGCTGGAAATGGAGAAAAATTGGGAGAACATACCCGGTAGCCCAGAGATTTCAGTTCCGAATCAGAACAAGGTAGCAGATCAAGGAACCGATAGCGATCGATTAGCAGAGCACTTTCGAGTCTGGACACTTCTTTGACGGTTTCCAATGCTTGCAATCGCCGCTTCTCGACTTTTAGTATACTCGCTAAATCACCGACCTGTCGGATGGAACGGTAAGCAGGGATGTTGGTGGAAAAAAGACAGTAGCTGTAAGTTAAAAGAATCCGAAGGCAGTGTTTCAACTATCATTTGAGAACCAAAAGGGACACAAAACCCACTGTCGATATATATTTGACAATGACACGCGGCATGGCAAAAGTCTAGACGAAAAGTGCCGTCAAAAAGGATGTAAGACCTTATTCATCAACAGCAGTATTCCACCTCCAAAGTGTATCTGTTGGTTCCACCTACGAGTAGAGTTGAACCCCGTTAAACGAAACGGTTAGGAGTGGGAAAAAGTATACCCTAATGAGAACCCTGTCATACAACGAGTGGACTTGGAAATGAGTAATTTACAAAAGCATTAACTGCTAGTGTACGCACGGTTTGGGTAGCATACGGAACTTTGAAATCTATCTGATTGTGCACTGAAGACATGCTGGTGGCGGGATAACACATTTTCTTGTAAATTTCAGTGGAGTGGACAATTTTCAGTACACTTCCAACCCGGTCTACTGTACATTTTCTCGTTGTGACACCTAACTGCAGTTTTCGATTTGGGGTCAGCTCACAGTAAAACATTGGATCAACAGGGTCGAGTTACAACCACGGACCTTCCGGTCAGTAAATTCGCGCTCTAAACACTTGAACCATCTCGTCGGATACAGTGGTGACACGATCCCTATGAACTATACTTAACAACCGATTCCTGGGGAAATCAATTCAGAACACAATCACCGACAACCAGCAAGTGAAGTGCAAACCACTAACTACACGCCTATGTTGAAATGATAACATGGGACCCGATACGCTGATAACACTAAAACCATCTGTACCACTGCATGTTTCGTTTATTAAGTACACAACATAGGTTACTAAGTATCTATAAAAGAGGTGTATCGTCCATAAGGCGAAGTATAACAGTATGTCATAGAACTTCGGCAAACAAATAGTGGCCACAGGTCGCTTCCGACACAGAAGCTCTCTCATTGGAAGTTAGCACGTTACTCGGTTGGTTGAATTTTGAGGTAAACGGAATACTGAACAGTAAGGTCTTTTCCAACAAACGGCGTCAAAGGTTTCTTCCAGTTGGTGCAAATGGGGAATTGTAACAACCGACAGTTTGGAGAAATGATTCATATAGTCCGGTAAGAAGAAATGATTGGTATATCCAGGATGCGTCAGACTGCTTTCTGGAGGACTAATCAGTACGCGATAAATTCGAAACTTCACCGACTAAGTCATACATCTATAGGATTGAGGATTTAGCCTTTTGAAAAGCTTTTTGGCTACGTCTTCTCCCGTACTCTATAAGAAGACATACAGCTGACATTTCCCTCTTAATCCACATCAAACCGGTTGAATTCTCACGCATAATGGGTAAGCTCCTGTCTGTAAATCAGATAACGAGGTGCAGTTTGTGATGAACGTTGTAGATAGGTAGATCTGTTATCAACTTACAGCTGAGGATGCACATGAGGACTAACGCAGTTCGCGTATATTGCTGACATCCTAAACGGCTCGGAAAAACAAAAGGACTGGAAAGAAGCAATATAGATGCATACGGCAAAGTCAATATATGGAAAGAGAGAACGAACTGTTTGTCTTTTCATCTTAGGAATGCAGGTGGAAAGGAGTAAATCGCGAGCCCAACGAGGAGAGGAATCACATATTACTTTAAAGGCTGGCATATCCAGTCACATATAGTATTTTAAACTCCGAACTCAACCTGTCTAAATACTGGTAATTCGGATGCGTCTACTTGCCAAGCTTGGCGAAATGATTGACATGGCCAGCTGATCAGTAGTCAAATCGGAACTCAAATTGCTATTAGAGACCGGTTGAAGCTTGTTGCGCAAATGTACTTACTTTAAGATAACAGTAATCATCGCCAAGCTTTTCTAATGCTCCGAGAAAATCTATACTCGTACTCAGATGTTAAACAATTCGAGTTAATCACGCTGCAACACGGACACGGAAGTTTTTCGATGACAAACCAATGACTATCTATACAGTAGCAAACAGACGACCATGGAGGTAGAAAATTAGGACGGTACACAAATATTTACGAGTGATCTAGGCACCTGCTTGTGGGCGTGACGAAAACTGTGACAGACGGTGTCCAAGCCAAAACACGCACGGAGCGGAAAAGGGAGAATCAAACACATTACCAGTGCCCACCCAGGTGACATCAAGCGCCAGACCAGGCTAAATGATTCATTCAGTGTTTCATCGTGCACCATCAGATCAAATTATTGTCGTTTCTCGGCGTGTACTGATGGCAGCTAATGCCATAGTCATAAGCCAGTTGAACCCAATATGTTGTTTTCGGAATTGATACATGGAAGGCGAAGCTGCAACTGTTCCAAATTTTTTTAAATTGTAGACAGCCGTTTCCCTCGTATTAACATTAACCTGTTATTTTTGCGCTTTGTTACCCGCGGCAGCAATTTAGAGGCAGCTGACCGGTTAAATCGTTGCCAGAGGCACATGTTTCCTCCATTTCGGCACGTGAAATCTGTTTGTCAATCCGGGTTTTCAGGTTCATTGAGGATGACATCAAAAGAAAGGGACGGGTGCTGTGCATTTTCTAACTTCACCACCGACACAGACCAATTGGAGGATATGAGGGAGCCCCGGTTACGTCATTACCGTGAGTGCGCTGGTCTTTGTTGGTGAATTGTGCCACAGCTATCTTTGTCATCATCGAATCAAAAGGATCAGAAGATTGACGAATGGCTAGAGGGAACATTTAGAAGACAGAAATACTGGTATGTTTATTAAAGGACTGACCTGGGATTCGAATTGCAGAAATCGTGCCCAAATGACTCTGGCTCGTTCAGAAGCGACTTGGTTTGAGCCGAGGGCACGTTCAAAAAGGACACGTATATTATTGTCTTCGTTCAGATGGGTCATGAAGTCCACATAGCATAGGATGTAGTCCGCATTTCCACCGAACCGTTTCATTCCCAATTCGAAAATTTTGTGTCCAATCTCTTTGTCCTGTAAGGAAAATAAGTCAAGCGGGAGCTAAGAAAAACACGACAAAACCATGGGGTTCCAATGGACAACTGATGAAGTCTCAGATTCCATTTCCCTATTGGCAATCACATTCGTGATTGTGATACACAACAGAATGATAAAATACGACAAACGATAAAATATGACAAGCAATACATAAGCTAGCTGGAACGCTGAGGCTTCAGGCAGTCAAGGTCACTTTGCAGGATCAGAGGTCACTGAAGCAGAAAAGTGGATAGCATCAGCACAATCGACCAGATATCACAACATAACACCTGTCACATAGGGTCTATTTGAAAAGAGATGACGCGTGCATGGTCGTGCAAGCACCAAACTAAACGGTTGGCCAACGATAACACAATGAAAATCGGGACCGCTTGCTTCGTTCGCCGCGATGCAGGGTCAACCACGAAACACAAACATGCTGAAGTTGCTACACGAGGAAACAGAGCATTACAGTGATTCAAGGATTCGGTTACCTACCGGTTGCTACGGATTTATCTAGGTCACGAGGATATTCATGATGAATTTGATGCAAGTCCAGCTGTGACTCGGTCATGACAATTCTGACCTGCATATCACCATCGTTCGTCCTTCCCGATCGGGCACATTGTCTTTTTAGTGCATGGAAGGCGTCCGTCAACAGCGATATTCTCCGCATCAAGTGGAGGTCACAAAAGGTGGTAAGGATTCAAAGCCAGGTCAGTAGGGCTTCTTCTGACGCGGTGGTTGATGGTGATTTAGAGGGTTGCATCGCTCCTCTTTACCTTCACTCAATGTTTTGAAATTAGGCCCAGACTTTGCTAGTTTCGCTTTAAACCACGGGAGTATGAAATTTTGCTGAGTGGACAAACAATACCCTGTCCCTCTACATGATAGGCTATCCGTTGACGGCTTTCGACAAGTCCACATGCCATGAAGGTGTCTTGTGCTCCTATTATGATGCTGTAGATAAGGTCGTCCACATTTGCAGCAATTTCATCCTGTCCCGCCGTCGATTTTGGCGTCAGTAATTTGTCAAGGTGTTAAACAAAGACAAGGTATCTAACACTTTTGTATAGTAAGTTCATCATTACGATTGTACAGCCGTGCAAAAAGCTCCTGTTTTTTTACTACAACTGCTTTCGCCAGGTGGCTTCTCTCGAGTAGATGGGTGAAGTAAATAGTGGGAATGCATGCAGGGGTACCACGCCAATTGAACGCTCAGTGAAAGATCTACTGGAAATTACACTGTATTCTGGCTGGGTCATGATCTCCAAGTGCCGACGGAGCTACTCTGAGGAGCCTCAGTCAGGTTAGAAACAAACCACCAGTGTCTACTCGTAATAAACGCTCTGACTGCACAAACCATCAAGATTGTTGACCATTTAGTTAGAGAGCAACCCTTGCAGACACTTTGTGATAGAGCAACCTCCAGAAGCAACTAGCGAACTTGCAGCCCTAAACTGGTTAGCCTACCCTAAGTAGTCCAGCTCTTCATTTTCGGTTTCTATAACCTTGCGTCCTCATATCTCCAGTTATCGATTTTTACAATTTGCCAGTGGCAGCCAATTTAAGGTGGAAGGCAGTTACTAAAAACACAGCAAAACTAAAAACGATGGTTTTGAACAGAAGAATGAGTACGAGCTCACTCAACTCGTACGGTGCTGTGATCTCGATTTGCCATATCTGCTGACAACAATTACTGTTACAGGGGATTTTATATAACTACTCTGACGGAAGCCTCCCTGAATGTGACTACCACCGAAATATAAAGAGAAAAGTGGGAAGTCATAGACACCGTGATTTTAGCTTGCCGCTCACTCAAGCATCTAAATGTAAAAACACTCGGATTTCGACCACAAGTCGAATATTCTGTACCACATGTTCGGTCATCCTCCAGTGCTACGTCGGGTGAGTCGTGAATGAAAGTTTTTTTGTGCGGAACATTTTCTATATGTTCAAGTAGTTAATGAGTGATCATCATAATCCTCATCACCAGCTGTAAAAATCACGCAGTAGTTGTGGATGCCACAGTTCCGTTTACCGATAAGGGTGGCTAGATACGAGTTGCAGGCTGCAGCTGATATAATTGGTGCACCAATACAGGGGTATCGGGAGGGAACTTTGCACTGAGGGCAATAGCTTGGATGCATGAGTCTCATTGACAGTGTGAGTGGGCCATGTCTGACAATTTCTCTAACCATCGAAGTGCTCCGTCCCCGGGGTCTCCATCCAGAGACCAGCGCAGCTGGTGATGGCTTTCATACTTTGTTGCCAAATAATCGTGTGACCTCCCTTGGTTCGTTACCATCCTTCACCTGGTTGTGGGAAAAGAGCCCTTCGAGAATTCAGTCGTCTGGCATATGGAGCACGTGACCAAGCCATTCCAACCTAAGGAATGTGATCAGTTCATCTATTACGGGCCAGTAATTTCTTCTTCCGGAGACTATTCGAGGAACTTCAGCATTACCCATCCAGTGTTCTCACCAGACTTGGGCAGTGCTCCGTAGACATCGATGGTCGAATACCTTGACGTCCTGAACACACAGCGGCCACGCTTCTGACCTTTAGAATAATATAATAGCTCAAAATCGATCCGCGCCATTTCCGCAAAGGTGAAAAGGAAGCTGAATCAAGTGAAGAAGCGAGAGACTGCGACCGACCTCGCACTGGATTATACTGTGGTACTTCGGGACGTGAGATATTTGAGTGCAAATCGAGGGCTCGCGACTGCTCGAGGTGTCCACCAATTAAGAACATGAGTGCACCTACATCGATGAGGCAATTTATTATGTTTTGGGGAGGGGGCGTTCCCTTCCCGGAATAGCCGTAGTCAGTAGGCGAATAAGGTTTACACTCCCTTGGGACGGTGAAGCCCGATAATTATGAGTACGGATTGTAAAAGCAATGTTGGCTACAGATTACGAAACTTGGTAGTAAAAAAGATCCCACTTCAAGACCATCTGTCGTACCGAAAAAAAAACAACCAGGTGAAATGTGGCCTGTGAACATTATCTGCAAACCTAGTCTACAACAATTATCACACAACGGAGAATCAATCATACGACTCAGAAGTTAGCACATTTGATGTCACACAGCTCTGAGACATAACTGTGTGAAATTTGTTCCAAAAAGTTGCGAGAAGTCAAGCCATATATTATCGTTTATGCCGTGGAAGGAAAAAGTGTGGGTAGCTCACAGTCTTAAATGTTTGGGAAAAAGTTGCTAACTGATCAAACGGACTGACCCAAGGGGTGTATGACAGTTTGGCAATGAAACCAAGGAGGACTCACCTTGCTGCAGTAATACTCCATAAATGCGGCAGCACAGTATACATGGTAACTGATTCGAGAGTCATCTCGAGCAAGTTTAAACACGTGTCTAGCTGACAAGATTCCTTCGGCACGCCGGGCGAATCGCATATATTGAATGTAAGGCTGGACAAATTGTTAAAAAGAAAAAGGATAACAGCCAATAGTGGATAGACGGGATTTTTCAATGACAAGCGCAAATCCCCAACGGACGGAGACCGGAATAGAACTCACAGCCTTCGGCTTACAAGACAAGTAGCCTGATCGCTGAGCTAGGGTGGATATGTCATCGGCGCGTGATTGACTACGAGTCATGAGAATGAACAATTAGTGGGATACCGCCCACCCTAGTGAAATTCATGTGGTTTCCATAATGCACCAGTATGCGACATGCTCGGGTGAGTCAAATAATACATTAAAAAAACAGACCGGAAAAACTCCACTAAGTACTTGATGAAGCATACGTAAAGCGTAAAACATAAACCGTGGCCGTTAACCAGGTTCAGAAGGCAAAGGTATTTGAAACAACCTCGCACAGTCGCGAACGAGGTTTGAATAACCCAGAGTTACAGACAAAAATCCGCGTCTGAGCTCAATAAGCTCCGAGGTGGGAAAAACAAACCACTGAGGTTAACAATGAACGTCACTCACCAAAGTCGGATCAATGTTTTCCAAAGATATCAACTTCTTGTAGATGGAGTGAACCTTGGCAAACTTGCATCGCCCCTCTTCGTAGTCAGCATAAGCAAAGTATAACATCATATTGGTCTTCAGAAGGGCGATAGCCCTTTCGTACATAGAAGCCGTCTCGTTGGCGAACTGTCGGGCTGTCGTTTGATCCTAGAGGTGTAAAAGGAAAACGAGTGAGAAAGTTGTCCACTGATGAACCACTGGACGGGAACTAACGGGTCAATTTGTAAATCCAGTTAAACTGAATGGATTTCCTCCCGTAGCACTGACATACTAAGAAGGTGAAGGGCAGTACAGACTAATGACCTTGGTTTGAGGAATATCAAGGCCTGTGACCGCTTTGTGATGAATGGAATAAGTCAACACATGCGGGCCACGTCAGCCACTTCCTAAAGAGATGAATATTCATAGCGTACGATAGAGATAAACTGCCATAACCCTTACAGCGGAGAGAGGCATTTGTGTCCCCCACACTGGGTTATTGCTTTCCTAAATCGGTTGGAATATATTATTGGTTTTTCTTCACCAAAACCGATCGCAGTATCTTGTCAAGTACAAAGTTTACGAACAAGTAAATTTTGCGCATTGGCTTTGTAACCGAGACACAGACGGTATTTTTATATCTCCGTTCAGTTCTGTCTCCAAGTTAAGCCAGTTTGGTTTCAGGAACACCATTTGCACCTACGTCCATTAATTTTGGGAATCCACTCAGGTGACTTCCTCAGATCACTGCAACCGCAATAGCCCAACGTGCAGTTCAATTTCGCTTCAACAAAATGTACTGCGTTATGCATAACCCTGACGAGGTCACACATACAGGTACATTTCATCCTATTTTTTGGAAATCAGGCTCTGTCTTCTGAAACGTCACAGGGAGTAGCGGTGACGTTACAGTGAGGACAAGCAGCGAAGAAGAGGTCTCAAAATCACCAATTTAACCAAAAACAACAAACAGGTGTACTGTCACACTAACGGGCATTTTACGATATGCCACCAGCAGTACCTGTTTTTGGTTGGTTTGTGAAATTGTGTAATCTCTTTTTAGAAAACTTGCGGCTAGGTTTATGTCCCCTACAATACTGTCTCCATATTCTTCAGTAAACTGCGATCTCAGTTCTGCAGCCTGTCTGTCCTACCTGAGGCCTGGTTGGCATGGGGGCAGATCCGATCGTTCATCAACCTCTTCATCTGTCAAATTGAAGAAGTTTTGGTCTCAAACTTCTGGTTTGTCTCAATGAATTCATGCGGTGTCAGAACATCAGGAACTTTAATCCTAACTACTGCAATTGGTACGTGTATGACTGCTACACCGTGTGACTAAGTGATATGCAACTGTGGTCCGTTGCGTGAGTGACAGACAGCTCTTCTTACCTCCCTTCTTTGTATACAAACACTGAGTGACCAGATTCTGACACAGGTATATCGAACCAATTTTCTTCCTAGGAACCGGTCATACTGAATGGAACGCGCCGACCTGCCGTATATCCGTACATCACACGATTCTCGTGGATTCACAAGAACGATAGAAACTGTACGTAAAGTTGAAACCATCATCAAAATGCTAATTAGGTAAGGCGGATTACAGCTTGTATCCACTTAATTTCTTGTCATCAGGCAATCACGATAGAACGTTAGTCCGAGCATCCATGTTAACGTATGCTAGTAGGTCAGCAGGACTCAAGCTGTACGCCCCAACAGTAGGCAAGCTCGAACCGGCCAATAAGATAAAACAAAGAAGTGATGCAAACAAGTGAAGCTGCAACTGAGAGGGGAGCAGATGAAAACCAAAACCATTTAGCCATGGTTAACCAGGTGTTAAGATAGTGCCTAGAGAATTAAGTGATTTGTGTTGCGGATAATGGAAGTCGAGAATGTTACGGAAGACAAGAGAAGCATCGTTCGGGTAATCCGAGAGGCTAATGACTAGTGACGGCATAAAGACGATGAATCGTAAAATGTTTCCGAGTCAGTCGACCGGAATTCCACTTTGATGTGGTAGAAATTGCGCCAAAACTCCCTTCTCCCTTAATCATTTCCCTCAATAGGTTGCAATTCCACTGCGCACCCATAACATGGACACAACCCATCGCAAGTGGATATCCCAATTAAATCTTTTTTTATAAATGAGACCTTTCTATTGCTTCGCTATTACTTGAAAGTGAATAGCTTGGTAAATCAATAGTCCCACCGACCTTCTTCGTCTTCAAATTCCTGTTTCATATAGTGGAAAATGCCGCTGTGGACAAAGCTGATCAGAACTTTGTGAATCTGAAGGTTGAAAGACGGGTATCCGATCAATCGGAAACCCAAGTTTTTTCAACTTTAGCAAACTTCCTGTCCGTAAGTTGCGTCCTCTCTGTTCATTTTCCCTCCTTCAGAATGCTGAGATCAGCTCGACAACTGCGACAAAGGCTGTAATCTATGCCCGCTCCCATCTATATATAGCTCATCCTCTCCCCATTCGAAAAAAAATCTGTTGTTACTAAAAATTCCCAGGTTCCTTGGAACTTAAGACATCCTTCCCCCCTATTCACACGAGCCTCCAAAGTTGAGCTGGTTATCACCATGCTTTTCATCAATTCTTTAGGATATGAGTTTCCCTCGTCTTGGGATAATTCTCTTGTCCTGATTCCAGAGTACCAGTGGATTCTAAATTTTTATCTCCATAAACCTTTTTTGTCAAAAGTGGTAAAGCCTTTCATCGAGAAGCAACTATGGCTGAATCCTTAAGTACAAGTATCTAAGTACAAACCACCAGAAACTTTGAAAGGCCAACTGGCTACATGTTCATCTGCGTGACCTTTGCTCCACCGAATTCAAGTCGTCTGGAGCATATCTGGAAAAAAAACCAGTTTGTTTTCAAGCCACTGAACTGCAGTCCATGAATCGAATGATGGTCCGCTAAAAATTAAATCGGTCAGCTGCAGTGTTCTTTCAGTGTACGGCTACTATGCTCCCGATAAGAGAGTATGACTTAAACGGGGAATAAAGAAACTAGACCACTGGAAAATTTCAGGTAAAACATAAAATAACGATGCTTAAGATGTGATGTGTTCAAACCCCTGTTGAATACACATACCGCAGGTGAAAAAAACGGAAACCGGAAGCGAAGCCGCGATGAGTGTGAGACCTCTTAAAAAAGTTGTGGGTCGGTCTTGGTTTACGGAGGGTTGGCAGAGGCTACTCGATGCATTTAACTTCAATATCTGCTTCATTTTCGCACGTCTATTCGGACCACCACAAGTGTACCGGTGGGTGAAGTAGACTGTACCAATAGGCTTGTCAGTGCGCATGATGTTAGGGCTCAAGCCAGCTAAATTAAACTGTACAGCTATACCAGAATTAGCTTTTATTTATCAGAGTGGTAGTGGACCGAAATACAGTTACTGAACACCCGGAGAGGTTCATTTACACAGCCGCCAGATGTGCAGCAGGCTGCGTTCGTGAGTTCGAGCCCCACTCTCGAGGTCCACTTTTTCGTCTACATTGTGCACTTTGATAGTACTCACAAATATCCAAATCTAAAAAATTTAAAAGCAACACCTATCAGATTCGCAAAATGCGCATGTCAAATCCTTACTCCTTTTTCCATCAAAACTTTGCTTGCGTGTTCCAAGTGACTAGCAGCCTCGTACCAAATATCCGGATGATGGCCAAGACAAAGCAGGCATTGTTCGTATGCAAACATAACTGAAAAAAGATAGCACAGAAGCCTGGGTGAGAATAAGTCCCAGTATAGGTGAGTAGGTGACGCGTAACGGATGTAAAAATAACGCAGGGTAATAATAAGAGTGAGAAGCGAATCCCCATAATTTCCTCAGAGCCTGACTAACCTAAAACGCACCTAACACCTGATAACTTGGTGGAATATAGAAATTTCGGAACCGTGGAGCGGCAAAATAATGAGTGATTTTAACCCATCAAAGCGGACATCACTATTGTAGTGTGTGAAAAATACAAGGAAGCTGTTTTTCTATAGAGGAAAATGTTGGTAGCTCAGGTAGCGTAGATGGTGGTCGTTGGCTTGTTCGCTGAGCTGGGTAATTTGATTGCAAACGTTTCATCACCAATCGAGGTGACATCATCGGTGCGTTATTGTGGGGCGTAGTAGTGCGCAGCGGTGGGTTAGCGGTTGTGCACAACCACCAAGAAGAGACCATTCCTAAACATCGCCCAAAGCCAACAACGACCTAGCGACTGCAAACTCGATTCGTGTTGCGAAATTTACCACAAAATAGAAACGATATTTTGTGACAGATTTTGTGGCATAGTGACCAAGAAACCAGCATCTGCTTTGCCCTGTCATCATTCATGAAGGCAATTCTGACTTCTATAAAGGTAACACTATCACTCTGAGTCGAGCAATTAATACATGCATCCTCTAACACGTCACATGTTAACGACAGGGACATTGCCAAACTAGGACGGCGAAAGAACACTTGTCATAGCCATTGGCTAGATGAGTTGGCCGGAGAAGAGGGTATGGTGACCAAGCTCTACTAATATCAGAGAAACACCCTAAACTATTGTCGCTTTTCAAGTGTAAGCTCCCGTCATGAAGCGCAGCGGATCTACCGCCGCGTTGCCTAATGGATTTCCTGTTGTGGGCCTGGTAGTTGTGTAAAAACCTACCTACTTTCTGGATTTAGATATACATTGCTAGCCAAAAATGCACATACGCCGCTCACATCTGCAGATGGAAAGGGGTTGCAAATTCCCGGCAGTGTATGGACTCGTATCTGGTCGTTTAATGTCATTGGCCCCTGCACTGAAGTTCTATGGTCCATATCTTGCCAAAAAGCCTATGCCTCTAAAATAAAACAGGGCAAAGTATGTTCACCAAAATCTTCAATCAGTCACTCGAACCCAGGCTGTTATGTGATTTCGCGTCCTACTGGCCAGCCGAACTTTTCTAGTTGGGTTCAAGTTGCAATAAGATAGCTTATAAGATAAGTACGAGGGAGTGTGTATTCGTCCGCGCTTCCAAGGTTGTGGAACATATTCAACGTCCTCTGAGCAGTGGTATGACCTAAACTCAGACATCGGGGTCTCTTGACTAACCCAGCTGCTGATTCTGGCCAACGAAGCCTGAATGCCTTAAACAAACGTTTCTACGGTCTTATACTACCCATTATACTGTACCTTGTTGGCACTCGTTCACTGATATTTGCGTAGCTACCAACTTGCTGCAGCCGGTTTACCTAATCCTTATCGGTCCATTTCAGCAGCAGCTAGAGGACTTGCAAACGGGATGGAGTGTTATGACTTCCATACAATTGGTAATGCAGGTGGTCACACTGTGCTTTACACGGCACCGGTACGGCTCTAAATGGCAGAGTGTAGTTAGGCGACGGGAACAGAAAACGCGCAGCAACCCGGGTTGGAAGGATCGACCAAAGCACAGGAGGGACCTACTGTGATGTTTAAATGCATACAACCCGAAAGTATGAGCTACTTGGCGTCACAAGTTGATAGAAGGACCTGTAAATTGAACGGTCAGCCCACCTCTACGCACATGCAGGTGGTGAATGATTTACTTGCAGAGCTTGCGAAGTGTATTCCACTCATTTTCCTCTACATAGTATCATTACGACGATTTTCTATACTCCTGACAAAATGAGTTTATTAATTTATAACCGGTTTGACAGAAAAATTCGAATCTTTACTATTTTCAATGAATATTGTCTTCAATATTAACAAACTAGGCTGCGTCTAAAGTTCTATATCAATAAACAAGATAAACTTTGCGTATCTTCAGGCTGCGTGCTAAGGCGTATTGCTATTGGAAATGACCACAGCTCAGTGTTGCTATTTTCCCTCGTACCCGAAAAGCTCAACAAGCATGAGTGAAATTTCGCATACAAGCACCTTAGAATGAAATATCATGGAGAGTTTTCGGTCAGTCATGGTTTCGGCACTGAAAAGTAGTGTGCTGCCAGTCCAGAATGAATTCTTTCTTCCTAGCGGTGTAGAGCTAAAGAACCAGTGGTAACAGGTTGTTATTATGTTCTCGAGATTGAAGCGGCACACAAACCCACGTCTTCTGCGGGGATCTCAGTGGTATGTTCCTCAAAGTCACTCGGTAATTGAACTAAGCACCGGGTACTTCCGTGGTGGTGACGAGCCACATATTCGCAAAACACAGCAATCCAAACGTAAACACCGACATCCACTGGTACAAGTATATTTCACCTCTAAAATACTCACCTCTAATCACAGCAACTGCATCCAGTGTTGCAGTTACTGGAACTACGATGGTTTTGGAGTGATTAAGTTTATTTTGTATCGTGACGTACCTATTTATGTCTGAGGTCTCAAAAAAATATGGGTTATACACTGGATGTGCTTGACGTACACATCCGTATCTGCAAACCATGTTGCCTAGAATGAGAAAAGTTATGGCTAAGTTGCTCAAGAGCGTGTCGAGACCCAGTTGTCATAGGTAGCTTTGCCACCTCCTATGGTAGAGGACAACAGTAGTTCCGCTCTCCAAAGACATTGCATCAAAGAACACTCCGTTAATGATGGACCTAGAATTGATGTGTTTTGAAAGATTACTGCCCACTCTGGAATTCGGATAAGGACCTAAAGTCACAAATTCACTTGACAAGAACTAGGAGGCACACTCGTGTACCGGGTCTTCTCATGCTGCTTGTGCTGCAGACCAGTTAATTCTCGCAAATATCAGAAGCTTCGAAATATGGTTCTACCAGCATGGTACATAAATTATAGGCGAACTGAGCTGAAGGTGACACTCAAAGCATCGCATGAAACGCTTCTCGAGGAGTCCTCACCAACATATTCGACCTTACTGGAGTGGCGCTATGTTGTAACCATGTGAAAATTCTATCAAACATTTGGATCCTGGATAAATCGTTTACGAGCATTCTATAAAAGAACACCTCTTGATTTATAAGCAGGACTGCTATACACTGGAACAGCTGGTATGCTACTCAATCAGGCCTCGGCGTGAGCTGAGTTGAAAGATGTTCCAGGAAATCGAAGAATCACGTAGATTTGTAGTTATCGGAAATTTCGATACCGCCTGGTGTTATATCTCACCGCATCCTCAGGACACGGGCATAAGGCTGATAGAGTTTTCTGCACCAAGTCATAAGCCTAGGCATAGGTTACATGTTAATATCGTCACTGGTAATTGCCAGCAAACAACTCAGTGAGAATTGCAAAGCAGTTGGATTGATAAAGTGCTATTCTGATCTCTTACAACAGAGGATGATAGAATAGACCACTATACGCGAGTTGTTTCTTCATGGAGCCTTATAGAGGTGAAAGAAACACCATAAGGTCAATAGCTTCAGTACCCTTTTTTACTACAAACTCGTTTATTGTGATTGTATTGATCTTTGCTCCTGCAGTCCAGCAAGCTGGATCTACTGACCCTCAAAAGTGCAAGCCCATAGTCCAGACAATCTAGACCGTTCCGTTGAGTATTCCTTGTTCAAGGGGTATAGGCATACGGGAAAATGAAACCAGGGGACTGCATTTGAAAGGCCTTTGGGTCATGAGTACTGTTCTGTCCACATAAACCCAGATCTTCCCAGCAGAGCTGGGGTAGCTGTAACCAAAAATGGCTATTCTCTGTTAGGCGACATTATCCTTCACCGAGGTTTTTCAATGCCACGCATGACAAAGACCATCTCCCAAGATCACTTTTAGTCGGTTCATTCAAACGATCCCTCTAAGGGTAGATAACTTTGTAAGCTTTATGCAATATCCAATCCACGGGGAACCCTAAAGACAGTGCAACCAGTAGGATTGATTTATATAGTGACTACATTAGAAGAAACCGTGAACTTACCGCGTTTTGTAGTTGTGATAATGTCTTCTGTTTTAAGTGGATTGTCCTTTTCCCACTGAATATACTTCTTCCAAAGTTCAACCTACGAAAGAAAATACAGCGAAGGACAGAGTTTTATAAGTTCATAGTAAGCGCGAAGACAAAATTGAATGAAAGATAGATCACTGAAGTGTAGTTATACGGACCAGAGTGAATAAGAATATGCGTGTCGTGGATCAGTTTAACTAACAGTCAAAGCGGCATGACCGCTACAAATCTCGAAGGCCCATGCACGGCACCATGCTCAGCTTGTTTGGGCAGCTGGACTGTTGTAGGAAAGATAGTGAGCGGTTATCCAGCTGTCTTGCAAGAAGTGACGAGTTGAGAATCGTCACTGTCATTATGTGAAACGCATTGTTATGAATGAATTTTGCACCCACAAACCTTCGGCAGAGAAAAATATTGCGGCTAAAACCTCCATCGCCACGCTCAAGGCTTACTTAAGTTGCGTCAAAGGTCAGTGTTCCTGTACCTCTCGAGAGTATCAACACCTGCTCCCAACAAGTCCGGGGACATTCGTTTACTTTTTCAAGGAAAAATAAATGGTAATCTCCAGAAGCCCGGGTGTTTAGAAGGATGATACCACTTCGCTCGAGCTAGTGTACGAATATTAACGGTAATCCGACATTATTTTTTTGTGATAAACGAAAAAATATCGAGTGCGTTAAGTTGAAAGCATTAGCAAACCAGACCATTCGAGTTTGACTTATACGTACCTTAGAAAATAGAAAAAACTTTGACAATATGTGCTGAGCGAGGACAGGGAAAAACAGACATTACTGAACAGTACTGAGCAGTTTATTTCGTTTCGTTCCGAAGCAAGTGTGGCCCACGTGCGCAAGCTCCAGGTTGAAACAGAGCACAAACCTACCTGCTTTGCTTCATATGGGGTGTTCTGCGGGGGGATAGACGGCATATTCCTCGAGAGTCCCTTGGTTATCACTTCGTATTCTTTCGCAACACGCCGAGCGTTCATGTAGTCACGGCTTCGCTCTTCGGTGAATTTCTTCGCAATAAGGGGGTTGATGGAATTTTCGTACATGCAGTAGTCTCGCCAAATGGTTTCTATGCCGAGCATAGGGGTGACAATAGACCGTTGATAGACGCGTCTGGTTGCTGTGATTTTCTGGCTTTCGGCATACGACCCTTGTACTTGTCTGTTGGTTGTAGTAAAACAAAAGACAAAACAAGAATACAGCTCAATACGTTGATTTCTTGTAAAACACCAGAGGGAAAGGGTGCGACGAAGCCTTAATCTTCGGGTGAATAATAACCGTTTCTATCGATAATTCTAAGGTAGAATAATGGAAACGGTGGACGCAAAATAACAATGACACTTTTTTAGCCACAGAAACTATTGACAACCGGTCAGGAAGACAGTCAACCTTACCGTGATGTGATGGTTTGTATGCCTCCGTGACCCACTGATCTATACTGGGTGGTGTCCATGCGACACCCACAGTCTCTCGTGCCAGGTTGGTCAATGGTTGAAGGTCTGACCAACACAGTCTCTTGGCCCTCCAGGCTGGGGGTTGTAACATTTGAGTCGACTTTTCCTATACAAATGATGATGCACTTGCATTTCCTACCAAACACTGCTGCCTTGCGATCGGGCCTTTGAGCCAAAGGCTTTCGTTAAGGACTCTAATCGTCCTCCTGTCTTGGTCAGGGATCCTAGTATCCCTGCGGTATCCCAGCCCACGTACAACCATGAAACCACACATCGGCCACATCGACCGTCGTGCGGTGTCAAAAGTCGGATCGCCCAACTTGCTGAAGACAGCAAACAAGGCAGTAGGGATTATGCTACTGCTGACGCCTCCCTTCTAGCATTTTCAGTTATCCCCTCTTCTACCTAGTCCATCACAATTTGAATACTTTCTTCGCACTAGAACTGACCACTCAATTTACTGGGTCTTACATTCAGCTGCAAATGCTGTACATCCGACTTCAGTAAAAAGACCTAAACCCCTCGAAACCTGCTTTCAAACGCTGAAAGTCCGTCTACTAGGCTGCCTTTAATGATCACACACTGAAGCAAACAGAACAAGTGACCTTGCAAGTCCGCTGAATTCTGAAAGAAACACAGGTAAGTGGTAGATTTTGAGTCGATGCTGAGCGTACAGATAATCGGGAGCGAATTCTTCAGCTGTGTGCAGATCATCGTCCGTTCCTGGCCGGTACGAACTTTTAACACAAACGCTCACATCGGGTCACTTGGAGGACACCTACAACAAGACATTCGAACTCGATTGGGCCATGTGTTTATCATTTATCGATACAGAAACTCAATTAGGGACTGTCGTTCCTTATGGTATACGCAGCTTGACTCTGACTTTGATCATGCCATCGTGCGGGCCCGGTTATCAATGCACTTTCCGTCAGCAATATGCGTGCCAAAGCGGAGCAGCTTCGTTCTTTAACTTCGACAAGTTTCAGCAGCTCAAGAGTAATGAGTTGATTTGGCTGGAATGCTACTAGAGACGCACAGACGTACGAATGACGAAGATTGCTTGTAGGTTAAAGGGAGGCGAGTAAAAGAAGCTATGCTCTCAGCTTTCAGAACTGTTTATCCAGGCCATCTGATACGATTAAATGAACATTGGATATCGGCGAGATCAGCAGATCACATAGCTGCCAAAAAGGCCATGCCAGCAACTAGTGGCTGTGATGGCGCACGCAGATCCCTCAAACATCGGATAATCAGAAGCTTGAAGAATGATAGAACACTGGTGAATTTCGAAGGTCCAGCAGATGGAGAAGGCTTTCGCTGTAGGCAAAAGCAACTGATTCGATCAACCGGTTAAGAGGGCATGTGTCGGTGAGACTATGTGTGAAAGAGGAGGAACGGCAAAAACTCTCTCAACCGTCATCTTGAACGGCGGGCTGAGCACTTCAAAGAACAGTTCAGCTGGTCTCCTTCAACACAACCGCTGGAAGAACTCAGAGGACCCAAATGGAACATTGACACAAATCCGCAATCTGCAACCAAAATCCAGTATGAGATATCAATCCTGAAGCATGACAAGGCACCTGGCCCGGATGGTGTGCACTTAGTCCTCTTCAAGGGTGGTGAGGTCATGATGAACAGTCTGACAGCCATACTATAGAAGATTTGGAACGAAGACAGAATACCAGCCGAATGGAGCTCTCCAACCGTCATCCCAGTCTTCAAAAGGACGCAAGAGTGTCGTCGGAAAACATCGTGGTATCAGCCTCGCACCCGTCACATCTAAGGCGCTGTCTGGCATTATTTTGCACAGGTTGATCGACTATCGGGAGAAATAGATTCGTGGGAACCAAGCTGGGTTTCGCCCCGGTCGAGGGTGCATCGACCATATTTTTAGCCTGAAGAAAATTCTCGAACATCACCACTCCTTCAAACGTCCCACTTTGGTCGTTCTTCTTGACCTGAAGGCTGTTCTCGACTCTGTTGATCGTTAGAAACTTTGGTGGCCTTTACCGGTCAAAGGTGTCCCTCCCGAATTTATTTCCCTTATTAGGGCAGTGTATGCGAACTCCTGTGAACCAGTCCGCGTGTACGGCAGGCTCTCACCTGAGTTCACCACGTCCACTGGTGTAAGACAAGGCTGCTCTCTCAACTTTCCTCTCTAATTTTGTTGGTGATGTACCGATTGAAATTTCTTCGCCTGTCTCTGAAATCTCGAGAGTCGAAGTGCTCCCGGAACGTTCGCTCACCGACACTGAACATGTGGACAATATTGCTCGCCTTGGTTCAGATGCTTAAAAAAGTCAAACCATTTCAAATGATCTAAATACATCTGCCGCATGGTTTGGTATGTTTCCCACATGCAAAGCGTGAGGTGCTGCTACAAGATTGGGTGGGATCAAACCCAAACCTCACGCTTGGAGGGGGCCAATCAACATGGTGAATAAATGTTTTGTCTGGGCAATTGTGTCAGTTCCGATAGACTGGTTGGAATCGAATCTGGAAGACCAGGGCAGCTTTTGCCAACCTCCGACAACCATGGTACCGAGGTGGCGTGAGTTTATCTATCAAGGGCAGAATTTACACTGCGGCGGTGCGATGCATGCTGCTTTACGGATCAGACACGCGGCGTCTACGTGCAGAGGACATACGAAAGATGTAAGTGTTTGACCATCTGTATCTCACAAGCATTGGTCGAATCTGTAGGGGACATCGGATTATTAGTGCTAAGCTTCGCCACAGGTTAATTGCAAGAACTCTCCCGCGATTGATGAATAACTCACGCTTCATACGTTACGCTTGTTTTGACATGTATTCCGCATGTCAGAAGGCCATCTGCTTCGAAAAGCTCTTTTCACTCGGCCTTGTGCTGACTAGAAGCGACCGAGAGGTGAACAGTGCATGCCCGACCTAAAGCTGCCACCTTGACGTGGTGGTCGGGCTTCAGTGCTGCAATGATCCCGCGGGCTACACTGGCTGGAACTTCGTTCCACAAGGTTCAACTATGCCAGGAAGGCCAAAGGGGAGCAGCCAGACCAAGAGCAGCGAGACCCCGTACTACGAGTAATCGTGCTACGAGGCGGTCTGCGGGTAATGTCGTACTGTCCTCCGCGACAGGAGTGTGAAGGCAGTAAGGTGTTTCCCCCAGGCGACCAGCATGTCCATATTTATGGAAGCAGCGATGCTGCCTTCCCGTGAGGAAGGACGGGTTTGAAAAGGTCGGCCCCAAAAACCGCACACTCCGATCGCCCAACGGTTGACCGTGACCGCCGGCGCATTATCCGATATGGTCGAAATACTTTTAAAGCCAAAGAGCCCGGTGCTGCTCAAAAGGCACCTGCTGTGCGCAGCCGCATCAGGAATGAGACAGTAATGCCTTATTCCCTGCGCCCTCGGGTTAGGCCAACCCCCTGCAGCCGAGCAGGTCAGACT